ATCTATCTTCTTACTACAAAGTGGCACTGGTGATCGTGTCCAAAGAACGATTTTTTTGGCATGACCTGGAAGTAAATGGCAGCATGCTAAGAATATATTCATATTTCAGAAAGAATGTTCTATACCACATACTATGAGGTCTTCACTAACAGGATGCCATATCAGTTCCATGTACCTTTTCAAAACCAGAGCGAACAATTGGCAAAACTATTGGAGTTATAGGTGCTCAGACAATAAGATTAGCAGTTCCCCACTTCAATCTTCTAATTGGCTGATCGTCTTGGGCCATTTTTCCTTCAGGGAATGTATGCAGCTGTTTGAATATGTCATGATAAAATTTGGAATTAAATAGAGGACAGAATCCATAGGCAGGGACATGGCATCTGTTGATGACAGAAAGATCAGTATGTAATTGTAAAAAATAACCCATACCCATCCTCCATTGCTAAGCACGTCAAGGGCTTCATTCATGTGTTCTTGATAGATCCCAGACCCTCTTGTGATTGGTATGCATTTCCCTGTGTGCACAATTATTTGTCATCTTAAAAGAGAAAATTAGAATAACTGAAGAATGTGAAGGGCAAAGAATAAGCACTAGACATTTAAATACCAATTGAACAAAAGAGAACGAGGCAATAGATTTGATAGCATTTGTTTCTTGTACTAGTACGATAGCACATAGCTTAGAAAGCATTAGCTAAACTTATCTAATACACGATACCCTGCAAATGAGGTACTAAAGATATTATGGCAAATGCAGAATACAAACTATACAAACTCTGGCAAACTTGAAAAAAGCATGTATAACTATTTTTGACCCGTCTCTGTCTGACTCTGTTCATAAGTCATATTTTCCTGTCTTTGGGTTCCAAATTTGGTGACATCTCAAGGATCTAAATCTACTGTAAGGTTGCTGGTCTTCATCGTGCAACAGTTCTGAACGTACATTCACGTTGAGCTGAACAAGAAGGAAAGTTTTGTTAGAGTTGTTCCAAATTCACTCCAGGATATAGGTCGGGCTTCTGACGGAGCAGAGCGGAGGCCCTGTGCTTGGGGGGTGCGGGGGGCGAAGCCCCCCGCGGTACGGTACGGTATATACACCCTTGCTAGGGTTTCGTGGAGACTTGATTCTCTTGTAAGCCGTCATAGGCGTGTAACCCAAAACTCTTGAAACAGTGAGATTGTTGCTGGCTGGTGCCCGTGGTTTTTCCCCTTCACATCGGAGGGGTTTTCCACGTTAAATCGTGTGTCTCCTCTGTGGCTTGATTCTTTACTTCATATTCCTATACGTCGTTCATAACAAGTTTCATCTGTAAAACACAGGCTAGGGTCTTCAGATGATACAAACGCTTAGGTGGACTCTATATTTGGTTCTATTACCATTGGATCCTACATTTCCAAATTATTCCCCACCAAGAAAAGAAGCAATCCGCAAGCAAACTTAACACAAGAAATGTGCAATGCAGTTTCTCAATTATTTGGTGCTTACATCAACAAAATGGATGGTCACAACACCAAAGCGTGATGCATACTTGGTTTCAATGCCCTCTCGTCGCTCTCAACCATCGTGGATGGCCCCTGGCACATAGTGCTACCGCGGTGAACTCTCCAGGCCTTCTGTTGTGACCACCTCCTCAACGACATCGGGGGATGCAATGGCAGCTTGACATTTCGGTGGTGACGCTGCCTCATCGGCGGGGCTAGTGGCACCATCCATGGCACAGCCACGCTGTCCATCCTCGCACACTTGAAACATGGACAGCAGTTGGTGATGAACTTCCATCAGTATATACACCGCGCTGCCACCCTTGGCCCGCTCGGTGGTGACCCCGCAATTGTCACCGCCACCACCGAACCTAGCCTAGTCGAGGACGTGGATTTCCTCACCCTGAATCTCAAGCGTTGCCTAGTCAAGGACGTGGATCGAGGCACCGACCTCCTCATGAGGCAATACCAAATCGGACGGCGCCGCCAAACCTCGGCGGCTGCCAGCACAACGAAATGGGATCTGGGGAGGAGGCATCGCCCTCTGCACCAGTCCGGCAGTCGCCGCTGCTCCGGATGTCGTCTCCTTCGACGACGGCGTGAAAGGACAAGGACGCCGACCAGAGGGGTGAACAGACGTTTCTAAAAATTTAACCCTTTAAAATACGGAAACGATTAGTATTGGAGTTTCCAATTACATGAAAGCTCCAAATCAGATAAATAAATCCCTCATGAGTCAACCATAGAGAATATAAACTATAAAGAATAAGCCTGGAAGCTACAGCTCTGCAACACAAAGATTAGAGCCGTGAATAAATAAAATCAGTGCAGGGGTGAAATACCGGACAAGTCCGGTATTCACGGGCTAGTCAATTCAGCTCCCGAAATGCTCCTTTTGAATTTTCCTTCACTCCAAGTTCCAGGCAATCACGGGTAACCTGCAGACAAGCTCAAGCAATACAAATAAATCACAAATACCAAATGTAAAGGGAGACTGAGACACGGTATTTGTTTTACCGAAGTTCGGACTCCATCGAGTCTTACTCTCCGTTGAGGGGGCTGCGAGCAACCCAACAAAGATCAGCTCTAGAGGACCACGAAGGTCACCCTAGCCAGAGTCTTTTTCAACTCCTTTTCCTCCTTTCACCAGTTGATCCATTCCCTTACGGTGGTGGAATCAAACCGTTACAAACTTTCGAGGCATACCACAGTCTCTTGGGTGCCCTCTGGCGACGCCTAGCCATCTATGACCGAAGAGTACAAGAGTAACAAATGCAAATCACGAGATCGACAAATATGCACAAGTGATCAAGGGTGGCTTGCTCTCAATTTTGAATCTCACTCAACCCACAAGTTGGATTTTGTAAATTAAATCAATCACTCACTAAGAGAGGGTTGGAGTGTGTTCTCAAGGCTCAAAAACGTGTATAGAAGTCAGCAGAATCAACAACCTCTAAAGGTGGAGGCTTGGGGGTATTTATAGACCCCACTCAAAAACTAGACCTTTTATAGCCGTTGGAATACCGGACACATCCGGTATTGCCTGCACAGCGCCAACGATCACTAAGTCAATAGCGCGTGTGAGGCGTCGGAATTCCCAACGATTGCCGACACTTTTGACTGCCGGAACTCTCGAAAATTGTCGGAACTCCTAACGAACCAAACCGAGAATACCGAGAAGGATGCTTGGCCAGGCCAATACCAGACACGTCCGGTATTTCCAGCCACAGCTAGGTCAAGTTAGCTCTAGAGCCTCTCTCTCACTCAAACCTCATAAGGGTTGGCTTGAGCACTTATGAATAATCATCTATCAACGTGATGCATCTCTCTTAATAGTACGGCATACCTATTTACTCAAGATCAAATGAAAAACAAAATTTAAAGCGCTTGAGTTGATTTCCTTCAAACCAATTGACATAGCTTTCAATCTTCATCAAGTGAGGGTATCAACATGTTAATTTTGATTTTCTCCTTGAGCATAGCCATCTTGAGCATGTGACTCGATTCCATTCATTGAATGTGAGTTAACTTCAAATGTATCAAATCACTTCCAATAATTTATCCAATATATTTGATCATCCACTTCAATGTGACCATCATAGTTTGATTAACACCTCAACTAAATGCAAGTACTTTCTTCTTCACCCTAGCTAGGTACCTCGGTCGCCAAGCCATCGCTTGCCCTTCACCCTTGCTTAGTACCTCGAAGCTTTCCTTGCCATCTTCACCATGTCAAGCCATCAAGTCACACTTTGTGTTGAATCATTTATTAGTTCTCCAATCCATCCTTTCATTTGTTTAGCAAGCTTCAAATATGAGACTATTCCGTATGCAATCCCTCATGTCTCATTAACCAATTCTCAACGTGCTTGCTTTCTCATGAATCATAGATACCCCACAATGAATAAGCCTTACATGAAGTTCATTTGTATTGTTGTCTTGTGTTAGAACTAGATTGTTTATACAACGACACATCATTTTGGCTTTTATCAAATACATATGAGATGATCCATTTCCTGTCTAACACCTTGCAGATTGGTTAGACATTTAATCATGTTGTCATTCAATCGTCCAAAACCGTCCAAAACCCACTAAAAAGGTACCTAAACTTTCACGGCGTCGCCGAACTTCCTAGCTGGCTCACGAAATGAGATAAGGGAGGAGGGGGAAGGAGGCGTCGCCTCTGGCTCGGTCCGCCAGCAGCCGCTGATGAGGACGTCTTCTACTTCGACGAAGTAACATAGCAGCACGGAATAAAGGACGTGAGAGCTGGCTGGACTCGGGGCTGGGTTGGACAAATTGAAGGCAACCGTGACTCAGGCAACAAATCAATAAGAAAAGCCAGATCAGTTGCCTTTTTTTTTCACAACACATAATTTAAAATATTTTTTATAGCTCATTTTCATCTTTTTCGCAGCTCACTATAACTTCTCCATGTCTAGTAGCTAAACCAAAAGAGAGCCGTTTATGTTCCGCGGCCCTAGCCCGTGTGGATACGGCAGCGTACGCAATGCCTTCCGAAATCTGAATTAAAACAAAGGGCACCGCCGAAATTTGAATGCTCCAGCGGCGGCGGCGATCGCCAGCAACACCGTACGTTACAGTACGGCCGGGACCGTGCCAGATTTCGCTATTCATTTGTAGGATGCCTCCATTTCGCAAGCATAATCCAGACGTTCAGATGGGAACACAAACCTTGTAGTACCATGGAAATTAAAGCTACAGAATTCATCTCTAAGCTCCAGCGGTAACAGCAAAAACTTCTCAACACGGCCCGTTTGTAAAGGCGAATTCTCTACGAGAGACTCTAAACCGACTTTGCTCACTAGTTTGGGGCGTTGGGACTTGGGGGTGGTCTCTGAACTCTGGTTCACACCAACAAGCAGGGAGGCACAGGGAAGGGCAGTGAGCGACGCTCTGGCTCGTCGAACCGCCTGAGCTGACCTGAACGCGGAGCAATCAAGGCGGTTCTCATGGCGTGTCACACACTGTTCGGCGCCGTGCCGCGCAGGGCCTCATCCGGAGATGCCAACTGCCCGCGTCATGGGGAACCGGTGCCCGTCCAGGCTTGCGCGGTCGAACGGGACGTCGACGTGGGAGCAACCAGACCACCCCTTGCTCACGGGCTTCCCACTCCCGCGCGGGCTGGGCGCCGGGACAGGCTGGTCACCGCCGCCGCTCCTGCCGCCTTTCCTCACGAAGCTCAGCAGCTTCTTGAGCCCCTTGGACAGGTCCCTGTGCGAGTCGGGGAACATCGCCGTTGGCCTCTCCGGGCTGCCCCACCGCTTCCTCGCCCGCGCCTGCGGCGAGGCCAGCGCCGCCGTCTCGAACGGCAGCTCCGACACGGACCGGACGTGGCGCGGCGCCTGGGTGTGCGCGTGGGCGTGGCCGAGCTCCTGCTGCTGCTGCTGCTGGGGCAGCGGCCTCGGGGTGATGGCCACGTCGAGGGTCGGCAGGTCGTGCACCCGCGTCGTCCGCAGCCTGGCCGGCGCGGCCGCGCCGCCCGTGCCCGTGCCGCGTTTCAGGAACGGCCTCGGCGTGGCGCACTCGCCGAACTCGGCGAGCACGCCGAGGCTGTTCCGCCTCTGGTGGTGCGACGACGGCCTCGCCGGGCTCCCCGTCGCGCCGCCGCTCACCGTCCTGCTCCTCGGCAGCTCCGAGCCGTCCCTTCTCGGGGTGCTCGGGATGGACACGACCGGCGTCCTCTTCGCCGGGGCGATTACCAGCCGCGGCGTGGCGCCCGCCTCCTGCGTGTCGCGAGCCGCGCACCGGAGCGCACTACGCGGGCTCATCGGCGTCGTGCGCCCCGCGGCGCGCACGCCCCGAGGTTGCTGAGCCTTACTATTCCCCGGTTGCTGCTGCTCGGCCGACGCGGCCACGCGCCTGGCGTCGCGCCGGCGCATGTAGACGTCGTACTGCCTGCCGCGGCAGGTGCTGCCGCCCCCCGGCGTCTCGGCCCCGTCCGCGAAAGCGAAACCCCCGACGCCCGCGTCGTCCCCATCCCCGCGCGCGGCGCGCAGGAGCTTGTACGCCGCGAGCTGCGCCTCCAGCTCGTGCAGCTTCGCCCACAGCGCGTCGTGGTGGGTCGCCATCATCACCACACCGCGCGAACGAGAGCGAGCAACTCCAGCCCGTGCGTGCCTGCCAACAACCGGCTGCTGCCGCCGCGAAAGCGAGCGGTGCCGCTATATATACGTGCCTGCCGCGCGGCGCGCGATCAATTGGGCGCCGTCGAGCCGTGACCGTGTCGGGGGCAGCGGTCACGCGTGGCAGGCTCAATTACTACAGGTTTGCCGCGTAGGCAGCACGCGGGCTCTGGAGTGTGGACGTTGGTGGGGTAGGAAATATAGGAGTGGCTCGTCGGGGTCGGGCCGTTTTGATTTGATTTGGTCACGGCAGGCAGATGGGAATACCTGGTAGCTTGAAGCCTTGAACTGACCAGTGACCACTTGGCTTGGTGGTGCAGACAAGCTGATTGCAACGGCAGCGGCGTACATGGCAGGGCAGCGACGACCTGGCCAAGTTCTGGCATCTCCAGAAAACTACGGGCTTGGTCAGGGAAGTCATGCTTTGTAAGATCCTATCACAGGCCGTGTCGTCGTCGTTGATCGATCGTCGGACTCGTTGAAATCAAATGACTTCCCGCTGGACGTCGTTTTGAACCGTGCTTGTAGCTACAGATCCAAATTTTGTTCTTCTTGTCCGTCGAGCAGCATCGTGCCATCCTAGGCATCGCCATAGGGAAGTCCGGTGCTATTGACGTGCACTTCGGTAGACGCACCACTGGTGATGCCGACTGTTGCGGTCGTCCGGTCGAGATTCTAGAGTATGCATGTGGCATGTGGAACGGTCTTGGTCTTGCAGTGTGGATGCTCACAGAAACTCGGCGCATGCTCATGCAAAGCCCGGTCGTCAGAATGGACTGAAGACAATTAATTCAGGTTCTGCACGGTGCTACAAAGCAAAGCATCGTCTCTGATGGACTGTGTCTTCCAGGCTCCAGCCGTCGCAGTTGGCAGCAAGGATTCCACCAAATCTATTCTTCCCGGCATGCTTAAAAAGAGGGATGCCATGAGCGGATGAGGCCATGACGCAGCTTTGTGTACAGGAGTTAGATACCCTCGTGCCCATGCAGAAATAACATTCCATATGACCCTTCATATTGGCACCAACTCTCCTATCATTATCCACTATCGGCCATGTTTAGCTTACCCCATATCCGGCTTGTTCGGCTTTTTTTTTTCAGCCGGAATAGTATTTTTCTCTCACAACAATTTAGCCGGAACAGTATTTTTCAGCTAGTTTCAGCCAAGTTTCGGACCAGCGAACGGGGCCGATCACCCTCCACCAACCGAACCAATGCCCTCGTTCACCGTTCACGCATGTCGACTACGAACTCCCCATGTGTCCTTGCAAGAGTGAAAATGTTAGTAATATTGATGCTGTTGGCCAATCTTGGTGTAAAACGCTGACTGCCAAGAAGAACAGCCGAATCCGACATGCTGGTCAGCTCACCTACCAGCCAAACAGCATAGCACAGTCCTGTCTCAAGTCTACGCTACTCAGCTTATTTTCCTTATAATTCGCACCAAAATACAGTTAAGACCTTCCAGCAATTCCAAACAAGAGAAAATGAAAGATAAGGATCGGCCTCAACATCAAAACTTCCTACATTTCATAAATGGCGCTGTATGCTTTGGGGTCAGAGGTAAGAACGGCCATCACGTCAGACGCGCTGAGCACAACGTACTCACCGTCCTCGCCCTTGAACTCACTCCCCGCATACTTGCTATACATCACGTTGCTTCCAGGAGTGATCCGCAGGGGATTCCTGCTGCCAACCTCACCCACGGGCCCTGGGCCAACGGCTACCACCTGTGTACACGGTGTATTAGACTCAAGAAAACGAGCTCAATGTCAGGACTGAACGAATAAAATGGAGAATGTATACATAGTATGTAAGGAGTACAGACGGATGAAGTATAATTCTGTTTGATTGTTTGTTCTTTTTTAGTGAGGTGGTCACTCTATTGTACGCGTAACTCTTAGGCAGCTGCACTTTCCGCACTAAAGGCTGCACGTTGAACTCTGTGTGTCTTGTGTTTTTCCATATAAACAGAGGACCAATGGTATTTAGGGCATGTTTGGAAACACATGGCTAGTTACTAGTTGGGCTAAAAATTAGCCCCAATTAGCTAGCCCTCTTGTTTGGATACACCATAGCTAATTTGAGCTAAAATTAGCTAGCTAACAATTAGCCCATGGTATCCAAACATGCCCATAGTAACCATCTACAAACCTCTGTAGCGAACCATACAAGCAGGAGACAGCTAAAGGGCATCAATTACTGGCCAAGACCTGCAGCTTTTTCAAATCAATTCCCTTTCCTTGCAGCATGTAAGCAATAATAAAACTGTTGAAACTTAAAATTCAAGCATACTTCATACTCAGCTGTTACTAGTCCACTAGAAGTCTAGAACATGTTAAATGCACTACTGATGCCCACCACCAAAATTCAAAGGCCCAAAACAAAATAAGCAAGTCTTTGAAAGGATTCAGCTGTTGAACAGCTAATGTGTTCATAACTTGAAAACATAAGCAATCATAATCAACAGATAATCAAATAAATAACTGCAAATGCTGCATATACTAAACCTAAAATACTCACTGTTCCAACAGAAGGCTTCTCCTTAGTCGCCTGTATCAATAGCAAACCACCAGCAGTTTGTTCTTCAACTTCAGCAACCTGGCACCGAAGGAGAATAAAAAGATTCAGTAAAAAATGGTATTGTAAATGTAGATGTCACAGTTCACACTCCAACAGCATAGACCATAGCTGCTGCTTAGCATGCACTAAAACACAGATTTCCTCTTGGCCAGATGGAATGTGCCGAGTTATTGTCCAATTTGACTATTTGAAGAATAAACTAGTATAGAACATAATATACATTTGAATCTTTAAAGGAGAAAATGTCACTGCAGAGGCCAGTATAGTAGTATGTTACTATTCCATTATCCCAAAACAAGGAATAACGTGTCACAGAACCACTATCACACAGTGCATGCGTACGAGATGGATAACCTTAGGCTGGGGTACTCGACATGGTGCAAATGTAAGACAAGTGCCAAACAAGATTTGACTCAGAATGGGTCAGTGGTGGATTGAGTCAAGCCGAAGAGTTCCCATCGGCTATGGAATGCACGAAATGGAGCTTCCTGGACAAGCTTTGCTTATAGTATCCAGACTTTACAGAAGAAATGAAGACATATCGCGAATAAACAGAGCATCTGCCAAAGACATCATAAAACTTCTGTGACTTCTATCCAATGTGTGGCTTTCCTGTTCTGTTGTTAGTGGATGAATATGTCATATTATATGGTTTATTCTGCTGCAAATGGTGCAAACACAATTTTCTAAACTTGATATAAGTTGTCACTGGGGATGAAATCTTTCATATATGGCATATGCAACTTGTGAGTGAAGTTGCCAAACAAATTGTGGCATGGAAAAAGGTTTGCTTCAAATAACGTGAGCAGAACAGGAGTACAGTAGCCAATTAATCTGGATAGTGTCACAATAGTAATATTCTTGACAAGCATACCTTAATCAGAATGCGATCATTCAGTGGTTTCAAATCCTTCACATCATCACTGTCGAGAATACCAATTATGTCATCTTCTTTCAAAATGAGATGGTCGGCGTCATTGAATTTCAATTCTGTGCCTGCGTATTTCGAGTAGACAACTTGTGCACCTACCTGTACAAGATTATAAATCGATGTCAAATTACTCAATTATTTATATAGGACAGTACCAGTGTGTTCAAGGAAAAAACATGTTACTGGTGACCAGTGATTGAGGCAAACCTAGAAGAAGATTGGATACAGCAAAAAGCTCAGCATACAAAACATACAGCTACTTTCTTACCTTTTTTATCATGGATGGCAGTGCAGCGGTAATAGCACTTTTAGTTCATTGATTATTTTTCATTTCTGCTATTCGTAATGTTTAAATACATAAGTATAGAATTACAGACATGTCTGCTTATACAAAGTAAACTTAGCTGTGCAGAAGTACATACCGGAACACTGATCTCAATGCTGCTACTTCCGAAACTTCTCCCCTCACCAACTGCAACAACTTCCCCTCCTTGTGGTCTTGTCTGAACTGATACTGGAAGTAAAATCCCTCCATCAGATTTAGCCTCAGAGGTCTTGATCTTCACAAGTACTCTGTCTCCCAATGGTTTTATGGAAGTATACTGCAAATTGCATGGATGTATATGAACACAACTGCTTACATAAAAAAGAATCGCACACATTGCTAACTGAGCAATAGAGGTTTGCCACACACGGAAACTGTAATATCATGTGGACACGAGACAGCAGATTTGTAAGTGCAAGACTTGACAGCATAGGTGTTCGTATACATGGCCAACCAGGCCGCACGGTACGGCACTGGCACGAGCACTACAGCCTGTCATCCATGCCGTGCCGTGCTAGTCATCACTCATGCCTGGCGTTTGCATCAGGTCACTAAAATAAACAGGTCTCATCACGCATCCCCTTGAGAGCTAGTCTTTCTCAGTCAAGGGGGGCAGGAGCCAAGTTTGGCTCCACTAGGCTCCACCCCTCACCCCTGGCTTGCATTTGTATGCTGACTAGCTAGTTATTCAGCATACAGGGAAGGATTATCATAACTATTTGGAAAACCAGATGGATTGTAATTCACTTTAATTCAACCTTGGATACTTGAATCTTCTAATGGGAAATGGCTGATACATCAGGCACTAATCCTATTAAAAAACACCAATCATACTCTCCATACCGAGCTGTTATGCTATGAAGCAAAGGTGGAAGTCCAAGTTACATCGATGATATACAGCAGGCTCCATTCTCTTAACAAATGGAGAGAAACATTGCTCCTCATTTGTGCTCTAAGATAAGTTTAGCTGTGGGCTTTTGTTCTTTCAATCAGAAGGTTCTCTTGCCTCAGTGAATGACAACTAATACAATCTTGCTCCACAAAGGATTTTCAGTCTTCCTAGCAATCTCCCCAACCACGACAAATAAGTGTTTATATCCCGTTTACTTGAAATTTTGAGATTTCTCATACGAGCGTACCGCCAAACAGCCACAGAACCGAACACAGGCCACCGCAAGTCTGCAACCACAGAACCCCAACGCGATAAGCGGCAGCACAGCGCTCTGTTTGTTACCTTGGGTGACACGACCGTGGCGGCCCTCACCACGAACCCCCTGGCCCTCCGCCCCCTTGGCACCGCAAGGGACGGCGTCAGGAGCATCCCGCCCAGCGCAGCCGGTTTCGCAGCCGCCGCCACCCGCGGCCCAGACAGCTGCACCGACGCCATGGCTGCTGCCGGGAACTGCAAATGACACTCAGCACGAGGACGACAACTGAGGAGCGGGGCGGGGGCAGGTGTTGAGCTTAGGATAAGGGCCGGTTAACCTATCTTGAAGCGTTGCTGCGGCGCTTATTGGACTGTTGCGTTTAGGGGGAGGACGCCGGATAGTTGTAGAAGATCTGGGGCGGTGGACTGGTGCGGATGGCCGCAAGTGGTTCTGGTTGGCTGGCAAGTAGGCCTCCGCTGATTTGGCCAGTTTGATCAGCGTTTTAGGAGCTCATGGTAGGACGACTTCTGTTTGCAGGTAATCCCAGGTTCACCATCCCTGGAAAACCCTGTACAAGTCTGTGTACAAATGGACTCATAATGAGATGCACTCAACTAATCGGATGCAAGTTCACTGGTTTGACAATTACAATTCACGGTTCACAGGGTTTTGGCAAAAAAAAGAAAAAAAAAATCAAAATTCATAGGTTCCGGGTACAGATCTTGGCTGACGATTTGTCAACCAGCACCCCCACGGCGCCAACGGTCGCACACCCTGTATCTCTGGATTTCCACATCAGAACTCCGGGTGTCATCATCAGGAATGCTTCCGCCAACACAGCATTAATCCTTGGAAGTTAGCTCTCCGGCGTTCATCCCTTTCATCAGATGGTCTTCAAACAGAGATCTGTAGTCAAGCCGAAGATGTTGGAGCAACGAATTCCACTAATCGTTTAACAGCTGGGCAAGCATAGCATCTGCACTCTCAGGGCCATCGTTGTTTACACTAGGGATTATGTGCTCTGGTGATATGAACTTGACAAATTGTTGCAGTTCCGTGAAACTGCTGTGTTCACTGTAGGGCACTTCGTATCTGTAGAAACAAAACGAATGGCATGTCAAACTTTAGTCCAGACACGGTATAGGTTTCTTAAAATTGTAGATATTTCTTTAGGGCAGGCACTAATAGCTTGTTTGGTTGCCTTACAAGGCCCGCCAGGCTCACTGGATGCAGTTTTCGGCTGTTTGGTTGCATCGACAAAGACCTAAGCCTGTTCCGCAGGATGCAAAAAAGCTCCTTCAACTTGGCTCCCAAGAAAGAAGTTTCATTTGCGTTTCCTGCAGGCCTGGCTCGCTGGATGCAAGGTGTTTCCTAGCTAATGATATACTTAGTCCATAATTAAGTACTCCATCTATCCACAAAAGATGCAATTCTCACTTTTCGAGTCAAACGATTTGAAGTTTGACTAAACTTATATAAAAAGTACTAACATTTATGATACAAAATAAGTAGCATTAAATTACTTATGAAATATATTTTCGTAATAAACCTAGTTGAAGACATAAATGTTAATACTTTTTTTGAACGCAACATAAATGTTAAGACTATTCACTATAGACAGTTAAAGTTAAGCTAGTTTGAACAGAGGGAGTATATATTAAGTGATATTAGTGTTTTTAAGAGCTAATTAAGGCTTAATAAGGAAAACTAAGACTACCAAACATACTTATATACAATAAATTAAATATAATAATTATTTTTATCTTAAACATTTTATCTCATGTGACATATTCTCATACGGACAACCCCTACACTATACCTTAGACAGGATGGGCAAATACGAGCAACTAAACAAAGTGACCTTGTATGAGTTCAGCCTGTCTTAATGAGCCTGGTTCAGCTCATACGAGGCAGGCTAGGTGATACAAATAACCAAACAGACTACAACACTGTCCGATAAACCCCAGGACAGATTAACAAAAGGAAAAATGTATAAAAAGAAAAAATCCAGGATGGTACCTGATGATTGATCCTTGTTGCCACCTTTTGCCTGGTGTCTTTTTCCTACCTTTGCCAAATGCCCAACCAGTAGGACAAAACGCCACTATGAGGTCAAACCGACCCTGAAGGTAAAGTAGCTTTTCAGAAAATAAAAATGTATCACAGAATTCGAAATAAAAAGGAAAAAATGGAGTGAGTTGTGATTTCTTGCTGGATGGGAATCTGGAACAAAGATGGAACCTCTAGACACTTCACCTAAATGAAATGCTAGACATAATGAAGGGAATATAGAAATTTGTCTCAGTTCTGACGTCCTGACTCCTGATAATACAACCAGAATATATGGTTAAAGATGAGGTTTTTAGTTATCTCTTCTAAGTAGAATAATTCCTAGCAACATCTAGCTATGAGCATCCATGGACCTATTTTTCTTGGTGGTGTTTCATCTAGGAATTTCTGGTTCAGTTTGAAGTTCAACAAAATTCCTAGGAATTTTGATCATGCCCACTATCAGGAAGGCCCTTAAATAAAAATGAAATCTCTCTTACAGTCTTATGAAGGCATAAGACAGAATGCAAAGACTTACAGCATATTGATTTGATAAATATTTCATCCGCTTGAAGCTTGCTAGAGTCCACATGGGGACAACATGTATGTGACTTTCTGCTTCATTGGCTGTAAACCAGTGCATAATATCCTGAGGAAGCTCTAAATGTTTCAATATTTGCAGCTTTGCAGCTCCAACATATATTTTCTTCTGAAGCAAACGAGCAACCTCCATAAACAGTCTTTCTTTTCCTGCATACAAGAACACTTGTAAGTAATGATCCTAAGTCGTAACTTAGAGAAACACCAAAATACCCCTAAATAGAAAATACGAGATAATACCAATTGTGTAGCTACCAATCAAAAACAATGTTTTTGGATTGAAAGCTTCTGCTTGGATGGCCTCAATAACGAACTGTATTACAATCTCTTGACTTGGGAAGTCATACTGCAAAATAATTTTATTCATGGCAGATTAACCATGTCAAAATTCAACTCTAAACTTTGGAAACATATATTTTTTCTGGACAAACTAAAAAGACATACCCGTGGATTGCAATAGGTTGTGTCAAGTATTAGAGTGTGGATATGAGAAGACTGCAAAACAGGATTGTTGGCCATCTCGGATGAAAACCGGAAGTCTCCAGTGTGCAAAACAGCCTAAAAAGCAAGTAAAGAAAAATAACATATTGAATAGTTATGTCAAATAGATGGAACAAAATACTCAGACAAACACTTACTTTACCGTTGGGAGGCTCAAAAAGAATAATGATTGATCCAGGGCAATGGTTGGCATCAAAACATGTCAAACTAACTCCAGCTATAGTGTGCTTTTCATTTAGGGTCAATACATGCAATCTATCCCATGGGATACCAATCTTATGATGCACAAGACTCGCCGTAATTGACGAACAGTATATCTTCCCATGACAAAAGCTTCTAGTCAAGCCTTGATAATCTGTTGAAATAGAAATATGTGTTAGACATTGAACATCAGCATTAGGTGCCTAGCAATAATGAGAAAGAAAACATGTGGGAACCAGTTTGCTAATATGCTAAGAGTTCAATTCAATATAAACTCAGGCAACAAACAATAGAGGTTGTACTTACGATCCACATGGAAGTGTGTGAGAAACCAGTGGGAACAATCGCCTCTCAAGTAGCGAAATGCATCCTGCAGCAACATTTTAAGTTATGGAACACACTGATTGATATTAAGGATAAATGTTCTTGTAGGTCTGCAGAGATAAACGCATACCACTCGAAAAGGGGTCCCTGGGATGCAACACCAAAGAGGTGTATCTTTAACCTTTCCTTTACCAGCACTTCTTCTAGTGGGTATTTTAGCACTAGAAATTTTCTTCTCGTCCAGATTAGATGGCTTGTTGACTTTGCATGCCCTTCTTTGTCTTTGATCAAATGAGGAACATTGAAAGTATTCAGTAATTAATTTATTACCATTCATCGGAACTTTAGTCTTCTTAGTATTTTCTGAATTTAACACATCTTCCACTACACTGGGATCATCATGTTTCTTCCGTAACTCTCCTAGAGCATGGATAATTTTCTTTCTTGGTCCAAGAGAGGTGATCCCGATACCCAACAGATCCTGCAGTCGATAGGGCAAATGTTAGTTGTTTTACCGAAAACCAGAAGTATCATTTGCCTATTGGAGTCACATCCAATATATTAACAACCAAGCAATTCTCTCAAAATCTTAGGATTTTGTGGAGAGCTGATCCATCAACTCATGCTTCAACAAGATCAAATCAGCAAAACATGCAAATGAATGCTGCGTCAGGAACAGCCTTGACTTACAAAAGATGGGTCACATAATTTAAGCAGTAATGGAGTTATGCTCTACACTTGAAAATAAACTTGCATCTAAGAATAAGACAGAATGTACCTCTTCAGTGAGCCACTGCAAGGTTTCCCAGTCAACTTCTTCTCTGATAAAAACCTCCTCATACTTGGATAACCCAAGGTTTCTTAACCATTCGACAACATGTCCAATTTCAACATTTTGTCCAGCACAGGGCTCTTTTTTATGGTTGGGACTAGATTCCTGAAAAAGATAATTCAAGTATATGACTACTTTAAGATATATGTTATTCTTATTGCAGAAGAAGAAGAATTAGGGATGTCAAATGAACTAACTCATGTTCTTTGTATCCACACTCCACTAACTTCATCTCTGAGTTTTGTTGCTCAGCAACCAGTAAATTGGATGATAACATGAATGTCTTATTGATGATTAGTCAATTGAATCTAAATAAACAGATTTCATTGCACCACTTGTTCTTTTTTATAATTCATTATCAGGCAAATATGGTAGGAAAGCTTCCACATCATTGACATTGTTGTAGATTGCAATCCACTGTTGATACATTTTCAGTGATGTTTGTTTATTGCCCCAAATAGGCAGGTGATGATGTACAAAAACAAACCATGATGATAATGGTCAACACTATGCAAAGAAACAATACCATCAAGCAGAGGATCAACACAAAAGCAGCAGTACTTTTGAGCTTCTAGCCAAAACATTAATTTAGCATGTATATTTAAGGCACATTAGCACAAAAGAAATTATAATATTAGGACATATTGAACATAACCTTAGCTGGTTCGTCAAGACAATTGTTAGTATGCAGCTGCCGGAGCTCCTCGCTTAAATCAGATATATCCGATCCACAGAGAGGGCATTTCACTTCATAGTCTGAACTGAGTCGCTTAGAGTCTAATGTGTTCTGTTCCATGGGAGATGCACTAAAGTTTGACTGTCCCTCTATGGAATCCTTCATACACAAGTTAATGAGCTCACTGAGCTGTGTCCCAATCTCAAAATCATCACAACCATCAACTTCAAAGTCATGGATCATATGGGATTCTAGAAGCTTTGATTCAGATGAATTAGAGCGGCACTGCCCCTTACAAGCCTCAGGTTCACTTGATTTATTCTCCATAGTCACATTTTCAGGGGTTGCACATGCAGAATGTCCTGCTGCTACTTTCCTCTCTTGTGAAATCAAGTTACAGGCTCCCAAACCAGGCTCTTGGATTTCATTGCTAGCACAAACTCTAGAATCATACTTTATGTTCGACATTAGGAGCTCTGACTGTAGAGAATCCAAGTGATAGCTCCCGTTCTGAAGCCCAAAACCACATTCAGATGCCACCCCATTTGCTTTCTTCGTGTCCTGTTTATCAGTCAGTGAGCCAAGAATCCCTGAATCGAGCCCTTCTGAATCATATGAACCTGCACTTAAAAACTCGCGGTTTGCATCTGATTCAAGCGCCGGTTCAATCAACCTGGAGTTGTAATGTCCCTCTACAGCTCCAGAACTGCCCAGCTTCTTCTCCGTTTTCGGAGGACCACACTCAGAGCCAGCCAGCTCCGGTGTGGCGTGCCCCTCTTGAAGAACTGAGGTACAATTCTGGGAGCCAGCTACTTGAGCCTCCTCACAACGCCCAACTCCCAAATCACATACCGCACCGAGCGCCAAAACCCTCGATTCTATCGAATTGGGCAAGGAGCTGGAGCTCCCTTTGCCATATCCGTATCTATCCAATCCTATCTTCGGTTTACAGCTTAGTTTGGCCCTATCAGATCCGTACCTCGAGAGGCCGCAAATTTCTCCTGTCTTCCGTTTCTTCGGTTTGGGAACGCCGCCACTAACCCTCGAGCCGGCGGCTAGGGTTTCGGCATCCTTCGCGGCCGTCGAGGCGCTCCCCACCGCGGTAACGGCACCACCGGCGGCGGAACTGTTCTCCTTCCCGGAGGAACCGGAGGAGGATGAAGCCTTGAGCTTCTTACGGAGCCGAAGTGCGGCGGCGCCATTGCAAGGCTTCAAGGGGCGGGGGCGAGGAGGTTGGAAGTCGTCGTCGTCGTCACTGTCACCGAGCAAGGTAACGGCTGTGAATTTGGGGCGCGAGGCGGGAGCGACCGTCGGCGAGGGGGAGGGCTTCGCCGAGAGCTTGCCACTCGCCGGCATCTGCTCGCCGGAAGCGGAAGGGTGGGAAAATGCGAAGCGGGAAACAGAGTTACAGAAAAGTGACCCAAAAAAGTTGTTTGTCAAGGCGTTTTGAAAGAGGACCGCAAAAGTAGTGAAATTTTTGTATTTTGATCTTTTTTTTAAATATTTTTTTACAAATAACTTTCTGGAGAAATATTTTCTGGAAATAGACCAAACTCAGCGTGTTAGGACACAACGCCGTGGTATGTGCCTCGGCGCAGTGTCAGTTGACGCCGAGGTACCGCCACGTCAACGTTGACTCAGGTCGTATTTTTTACCGTGGCCCTGAGGCCCGCAGAGCTCGGCGTGGGCTTAGTTAACGTCGAACCCCATACCTCGGTGCGGCCCGATTCAACGCCGAGGTCTGGGCACATAAGGCTGCGCCGCGGCCCCCTTCTTCCTCCCTCCCTTCGTTCTTCTTCTCTATTGGACGCGGCTCCCTGCTGTCTCTCTCTACCATCAGGCCCCCAACAAACCCTAACCCCCAAATGCTTCTCTAGGCGGCCGGATCTCGCCTGCCGACGGTTTCCCGAGGTAATGCTCCTTCCTCTCTTCCAATCTTTCCGCATAGATTTACTTGCATTGTCTCTAAAATTGTGGAAACGTGGGGGTATGTTGCTATGGTATTTTTGTAGATGTATTTGTGTAATGTATGACTTAGTTTGATTTGGTAGGTCATTTGAGGTCTGGTTTTTAGGTAGTTCTTGTTAAATATTTGTTAGTTTGCCTAAGAGCTGATAAATTGGCATTAGGGTTTCATGTGGATTGATGTACAAATTATTATTGTTAATTATTTGGTGTATGCTATAATTGTAGTAGGCATCAGTGTGTTAATTAATACCTAGTGGTAATTTTAGTTAATTGTTTTATTGATTTGCGTATTACTTATGTCCGATTTGTTATTAGTTCGGCTCTGATTGAATGATATTAGCTTGATATGTGACAACATTTGTTGTGTGACGGTTGTAGATGGATAAATTAGTGAGGTTGCATCATAGAGGACGTGTTGTTAGGACAAGCGATGATAGTGTTGAATTTGAGGACATGTTTGAGGATGTGTTGATTTTTTCGGAGTCACCCTCTTTGACCCAGTTAGTGGACCGAGTGAAAATAAGGTTAGGTTGGTCCGAAGGAGATGTGCATGTTCAGTTTGAAGGGGTCATTAATGTTGGGTCGTGTAAGGGTCCATGCATCAAGAGGTTGCTCAAAATTACAAGCGAGTCCGAATGGAATGATTACAAGGCAGTTGTGTTGGCCTCCGAAGTGCGATCTTTGGATTTGGTGGTAACTAAGGAGTATGGCATAGGAATTGAGAACATTGAAGCATGCCCATCGTTCGACGCTCGCATAGAGAATGGTCCTTCACTAGAAGAAGAAATAGTTCTCACACAACCAACCTATCGCGGTATTGAAGGGTTAGGATCGGGCGAGGGAGATGAAGATTGTTGTGACGGCGTTGGAGATGATCACGACAATGCGGGAGCCGATGGTGATGAAAATTATGGTAGTGATGATGATGATGAGTCTTATGGAGTTGGTGAGAGAGAAGAAGCTTTGGACGATGCTAGCAGAGATGACTTAATTGATGATGATCTTAGTGACGAAGCTGATCTTAGTAGCGAAGATGACTTTGGCGATGCCAGGGCTATGAATCGGTTTGATATGGAGGTAGCTGGAGATGATGAAACCTTTGTAGAGGAATTAGCAGAAGACTCTGACGATGATCGTCCTGTTCGTCGTCTCGATGATAGGGAAATAGAAATATTGAGAAGAGTGTTTCCTGGGAGCAATCCACTAGTTCCTGATTTTGAGAACCTTAGCCATGGGCATAGGGCAGTAGCTAATGGAGGACCAAGTGATATAACAGTACTTGATGTTTGTGGTTGCAACATCATAAGGAAGGGCATTTTGTTTGCTACCATGGATCACTTGAAATCATGGTTGCAAGAGTACTCCATTGTGCACAACCGTCCATATAGGGTCATCAATTCATGCAAGGACTCTAGGTACACTGTTGCATGTGAAGAACAAAGTTGTGGGTGGAGAGTATGCGCTAGGAAAATGAAGGTAGGAACATGGAAGATTACTTTAGTGAAGCAACCACATGTTTGCGTCATGGCTGAAGCAAAAGAGAACTATTTGTAGCTCAATTCTAGGTTCATCGCTAGGCAATTATGGGTCGTGATGAAGCATTTGCCTACCATTTGTGGTGTCCGCGTTGGTTGAGATCATCTTCCTACGTTACAATTACTATGTCAAGTATGGAAAAGCATGGAGGCAAAGCAACGTGCTCTTGAACTTATCTTTGGATATTGGGAACAAGCGTATGTGCGTCTTCCTATAATGTTGAATGCAATGAAAGCTGTAAATCCTAGGATGCACTTTGAGTATTTGCCTAAGGAGGGTGAAACGAGGAATGGGAAGCAAGTTTTTGGTAGGGCATTCTGGGCTTTTGGCCAGAGCATCGAAGCATTCAAGCATTGCTGGCCCGTCGTCTCAATTGATGGCACGTTTCTTATAGGAAAATTTGAAGGCACGATGCTTATATGTATTGGAACTGATTCAGAAGACCAACTTGTCCTATTGTCCTTTACGATTGTTCAGAAGGACACGGATAGCTAGTGTTGGTTCTTCAAACTAGTAAGACAAGTGGTTATTGGACTAGGGCATGATGTTTGTGTCATATCAGACAGGCATGCTGGCATTCTAAATTAAATGTTGTACAAGAATAGATGCCTGGTTATGGCCAAATACATCACCGATGGTGCACGAGACACCTTGCTCAGAATCTTATAAGGCGTGATGGCACAAAGGACAACTTCAAGTTATTTGAGGAGGTTTGCAGGCAGCTTGAGGTTAAGTTATTCAATGAGAAGCTAGACGCCCTGAAGTTAGCCACGAATGCTAGCGGAAGATAGTTCCTCGCTGAATTGATGCCGTCAAAGGAGAAATGGACCCTTGCATACGACACCGAAGGTTGGAGATGGGGCTTCATGACTAGTAACATGGTAGAGATGTTCAATAGTCTTCTAAGAGGGTGATGGGGTCTTCCCGTGACTGCTATTGCCTCGTTCATGTTCTACAAGTTGAATGCTTGGTTTGTTGCGAGGAAAAACATGCGAGATCTCTATGGATAGCAAACAAACCTTGGCCATTGTTAGTATCTCAACAACTCTCTTTCTCAAAGAAGTCTAAAACACAAAGGGGAGCATGTTTTGATCCTTTGAACAACACATGAGATTCTAGAGAGCGGTGGAACTAACATCGGTGGTGAAGACCGTGGTGCTGCAAAGCATAAAGTAATAATCAACAAGAACAAATGTTCATGTGGGAAACCAACCATATACCATATGCATTGCTCCCACATGATTACGTCTTGTTGGATTAAACGTGTTGATGCTGAGGTCCCTCCCCGTTTAGCAACCGAGTTCTCATTGAGAAACCTTATGAGCACTTGGAATCCTTAGTTTGAGCCATTTCTAGACGAAGACCAATGGTCATTGTATGATGGCCCGAAGTATGTGGCTGATCTAGGCTTGCTTTGGAAGAGTAGAGGACCCAGGAGGCGGAAGCAGTTCAAGATGGACATGGACCGAGCTGCCAAAGGAAGATCAACCATGAGTAAGGTCGGCACACATTTTGTAGAGGACACTCAACGTAGTCGTTGCTCAAAGTGCCATAAGTCGGGCTACAATAGAAGGAAATGTCCTGAAGTACTTAGAGAATAGGTATCTAATGCATTTGTTTGCTTAGTAGTTATTAGAGTGTTATTACTTGTTTTCTTATTAATGTTTTGTTATCTTTTGATGTACTTGTTTTTCTCATAGGCATCTAAAGTGTTTTTATTTAAATTTTGTTACTTGTTCTCTTACCAATGTTTCATAATTTTTGTCATCAGCACTAATGCTTTGTCGCTTGTTAACATGCAGGATGGACCAGTTTCCCCTACTTGATCCAAGGTTCGATGAGAAGCATCGGGATCAGAGGATAGAGTAGGGAGATGTAAACTTCAATTGCCTCCATTTCTGTGAATTCAACAAATGTAATACTTACTTTCTATTCTATCTGTTTTGCAGGTGCTCAACGTCTTGAGGCCAATGACACATGAGTCTGCTATGACCATGGTCTATGATGAGCGCTACACGCCCCTCCTAAAGCGTGCGAAGCTTGCTACCATTGCTCGTGTCTGTCCTCGTGGGGTGCCACCTTTCAACCCAACGGTCCTAACAACGATGATTGATAGGTGACGACCAAAGACACAACTTCCACCTACCGTGCGGAGAGATCACGGTCACCTTGGAGGATGAAGCCATAATCCTTGGACTAAAAATCTAAGGATTCCTAGTCACAGGAGACACGGAGTCTACTGGCTAGGAGGACCATGTGGCTCAGTTCTTGGGATGTCCGCTACTAGAGCTTCAGCCTGGCAAGAAGCGGCACAGCAGTGGTGTGCCACTTAAGTGGCTTCGGGAGCAGTTTCATCAGTGCCTACCCAAAGCAAACGAGGCGACCGTGAACTACCACTACAGGCCCTAGGTCGTGCACATGTTTAGTACTGTTCTATTCCCTGACGGCACCGGAGACACGACATCGTGGAACAGGAGCTGGGGCTCGGTGGTACTTTCGTTCCTGTACTATCAGCTATGCAAGGCTTGCCAGCGGCCTTTAGGCGCGCACGCTACAATGTCAGGGTGCACCACACTTTTGTAGGTAAATAAAACTTGTGTAAGTATGAATTCTTCGATTGTTGTTTGTTTAACACATTTCTGTAACTTTGTAGATTTGGATGTGGGAGAGACTTCTAGTTGGGAGGCCGCATAAGATTGAACACCCTCAGGCTTGGTTCCCAGAAGGAGACACAGTCGTCACCCCTACCATGGCACACCTCTACGAGCGAGCCTGCGGTACTTACCACGTCTCCCGCCACGCGTACATCAGCTACACGAACGAGCTCGACATCCTATTGCCACAACACATAA